GTCGAAATATCTCGATGAAAAGGACAGAGCGCCACCACATTTCACTAAACTCTCACTAGAACTCGCAACGCGACTCAACACTAACCTCGCTATCATGTTTGTGCGGTTACACATCCAATATGGCGCCGGTAACTGTAAAAAGGGCTATTCACGTCTTCCTAAGCTTTCCAACGTATCGAAGAAAATTTCACCAATAATTCGCACTTAAAAACGCAACCAGAATCTTAATCTATCACCAATCCGTCCCAAACGACACCAAGGATAACTCATGAAACAAGGATATCCCGTGAAATTCTTAACCTTCGAGCGCGGAAATGTTAACGATCTTCTTACAATTAATATTTTTACATTGCATCCCTCCCCTAGTTGGGAAGTGACAAGCAAGAGACACGTTCACAACGCCTTTTGATTGGAAGAAATAAAACCACATTCTATTGGTTATTAGTTGTGAGGACATAACTGCAACGGAAGACACAACTGCAACGCTACAACTGTAACAGCTTAGAACCGCTTGGTCGTGAAGATCTGGGTAGAGGGTAGACTTAACGCTAAATATCTTTAACCCCCTCAACTCTCACCCCCTCCCTTTCCACCCTCGTTTCTTGCCAAGCACAATATCCGGGACTTTGAAACCAACCGTCATTTGATCCTAAAGACTAAAAATTTAGTAAGCTTTCGTAGCGTTATACCCGTGGAAGCACAATTATGGAGGAAGATGGAAGGAGTTTTAAACTTCTCGGCGCAATCTGCTTTCTAAGTCTCGCCTTTTGGAACAAAGTGTCTACCTATTCGGGTAAGTATTGATTTTTTTCTTTTCAGTTCCCCTGCCTCCGCCAAGATACCTAGAATGCGATCCGATGATTTTATTTTATCAGCATAACTTTGTAGCTAGCAGCCTTGTGATTTATTAGCATACTAAGGTTTGAATTGTTCTTTGAAAATTTCTGTCTCTTGACTTATGCTTCATTTCACTGCCTGATCGCTTAACGAACTAAAATTGTTTGGCATTTGCAACACCGATTTGGAATAAACTAATGCCGAAATCAAGAAGACGGTTCTCGGAAATGTTTTATTCCAACCTCGTGCACAAAACTAAAAATAAAGATTAATTCATTGCATGTCATGTGAAAATTTTTTGACAAATTGTTTTATGCATGAGCGCCTAACGGGCTGCTTTTGCACTGCTACGCTAGAACTCACAATTTCAACGTCGTCCTTACTTCCATTTCCTAAATAACTCACCGACAAGTTTTAAAATGGCTTTGAGATATTCTAAGTCGGGCAAGAGTACCATATAACCCCATACATTCATTGTGCATTCAGACTAGTAGATTTTGTTTTTAAAGGTTTGTTGTGAAAGACAACGAAGTGGAATGCATAATTAATGTTGGGGTTATATGGTACTCTTTACCGCTTGGCCGACTTTGGTATTTCAAAAGCAAAGCCAACTCTAAGGGGCTTCCGCGGAGGAAAACGCAAAGTTAGAACACCTAATCAGCACCATATATTGCAATCAGTGGTGACTAGAAACGAAACAAGGTCAATGGAGCCGTCATTTCATGAAGAATCCAGCGTTCAGGATGCAGTTTCGGATTTGCCTAATGTAAGTAGGGAGTCATTAAATATTCAAAATGACACCTCAAGAAATGGAACCCTAAATGAACAACAAGAATGTCCCGCGCGTAACGCACTGAGTAACTCTAATCGATTTTCGCATTACTTTGCTCCAAAAATCATGGTTTCAATCGTCATGTCACTGGTACCAAAGATGACCGAGGTGAGTGAATTTGTCCTTCGTAACAGAGTTAGCCTTGCATTCATACTTGGCTCAAGTCGTCAGTCTGTGACTCGATTTATTTATTAATTTTGTCCGAGAATATCCATAATATCTCTCGGTGCTAGTTCTCTCAATCAATTAGTGGACTGTATCTTTCGCCTTTTCTAGTTTATTTCTTCGTTTCCTTCTTGACACAATCAATTCCGTTCCGTTCGGAGGCTTAACCTCTCACAACAATTCTCTTAGACATACATCAAGAAATACAACAATACGTGATTACCTACGTATAAAGCTTCCTCTAGAGAGTTCTAAAGTGTGACGTCACGTTGCCATGGTGCTAGATTTTTCTGTTCTAAACAAACGTTTCACGTTGCGCGCCATTAACGTGACCTCTTTGTTTTGGTAACTTAACCTTCAATTATTACGGAAAACAAAAGTAGCTTATGTCAGAAAAGCGGATAAAATAGACAGTCGAAAGGAATTGTTGATATAATCACAGGCGGCCCAAGCTCTCTTTGAGAACCACACAAGGAACACAATTTGCATATCGATTTATAAGGATTTGTATGGGATTTTCTACAAGATAGCCATAGAGATAGTTAAAAGTGAAAATATTAAATAAAAATGGCTTACCTTATTCCATACGTGTGTTGCTTGCTCCTGGTGTCGTTATTTTACCGATTTCACTTGATTTAAGCGGTTTTTTTTAATCCTGGTTTTCTCTTCTTAAANGGCTCTTCGAGTCCTCAGTGAAACGTTAAAACGTTTGTTGACATCCGAGTCCTTTTTAAACACGACACAACGACCGTTGAAATCGGCTTGGTAACCTCGTCATGTTGGCAAACCAAGACTCGCAGGGTTACTAGACCTCAACTTATCAACAAAACTTCTTGTAAAACCCGGGGTCCCCTCAGGTTTAGTACCCCCGCGAGTATTCAAAATTCAGTCGCCCGTTCAGGAGGTTGCGAAACAACTCGGGAGCAGTGGGGGCTGTCTCACCTCGGCAAGTTTCATATAAACGCTCCGTAGAGTTACCTCGGGGGGAGGGTTGTGTTGGGTACCCGAGACTATATAAATGGACCATAGTAACGCTATTTAACGCAATACACTAAACACAACAACAGGACTTCTCGCCGCCATAGCCAGTCTCAAACACTATCACTCAAAATGCATAAAACACATGTACCGTTGGAGAGCGTTTAGTCAGGGCTGTTGAAGAAAGATCAAAGTGGCCTTTCAAATCTTTGATAGACTTCAAACTACGATATGCAACAAATCTGAACATCTCGAAAACCGGTCTCGAATTACATACCAAACAAACAGTGCTTGCGTTTGTCCTTGAGAATGATAGAATACGCAACAAATACGCATAAAAAATTCTTCTATATATTCAAAATGTATTAAATTACATTTACCAATAGTGAACGGAAAAAGAAATAGCCTAACTTTTACGGAATGTTCCGTCAAAATCGGCCAATTTCTGCCACTTCCACCGCTGTATTAAAAATAACGCTACCACAAAGTAACGCAATCAGAGTGTGCACACCGCCCGGGCGATATCTTTATTTAAAGACTGAACAAGAAAAATATTTTTGAGAATAGTATGGAGTTATACAAAAATCTTTGTTAACTTTGTTGTCATGAATGGAAACGAGGTACTTAATGCAAGAAAAAATCGAGACACATCGGTAGCTTTTTAAACCGAGATTCTGTTGCACCGTGTGGGGCGCCACGTGTATTGGTGTTACGTTCAGGTCAACCACTGACAGGGCACTACTTCCAATAAACAGCGATGAATTAGTTTAGCGGTGGGAATTTCAAGCTAAAAATCATAAGCTGTCGACTCTGTAGAGACGATCCACGAGCTTAGAAACATTTCCTTTTAAAACAAATCTGTACTTGCATAAATCTCTCTTGACTGGGGTGCAAATATGACTGGGTTCTATGGAAATACTTACCCTTGGTGCGGGTCCACAACAATATCACCTGGGCCTATTGTAGAAAGGACAGTTGTTCTGTCGTTTCCCTCGAGATCTGATATCGATATTCTGCGATTATCGTTGTCTGTCTAATACAACTGCGATGGGGAGGGAAGGATGGAAGGAAGGAGTGAATCTTACATCAAAACCTATATCTCGAATTAATTAATGACTGCGTCGTTATCGGAAAAAATGCACTAAAAGCGAAGCTTTGTTTGGGAAATTATGACGTCAAGCGCATCGTGGCTGCTGCTCTATTCGTATTTTTTTGAAACTTGATGAGGGCAGAGCCCGAATGAGCTATAACACCGAGAAATCGATTAACTAGCCGTTCAAAACTTTGTTTTGTTTATGAACGCAAACAGTTCACCTTTTCTCATTACCGTCTATTACGGATAAGATAATGATTAGATTGGCCGATCAACTTCAAATTTTCTTTAAGAAACAGTATCTCCTGAGTCCACAGGCCTCCCTGTGCGGACTTTAGTCTCCACAATGTAAGAGAAATCGATCAGATTGTCCACGAAATCTTACCGGAAATTATACTAAATACTTTCGCAGGCATCACAAGAGAACGAGTTTAAAAGTTTGCGAAAGTATTCAGTATAATTTCCGGTAAGGTTTCGCGGACAATCTGATCGATTTCTCTTACATTGTGTGCTGAGACTGAAACTTTTCACCTCGGGCAAAGCTTCGTCGCACGGCCCAAACAAACATAGCGAGCAACAGAGCTTGTTGTATATGTGCGTTTTAAAACACACGAAAGGACTCCAAACGACACTTCACTCTGATTGGGCTGTAAAACACAAATATTTTCTGGCACCAATCAGATGCCAGAACGACTGCGACCGTTTGGAACTAGTCTTGTAAGGCAATGTCCCCAGGGGCTCTTCTGCCCTTAAACACGAAGGCGCGCTATATAAGGAAGTCTTCCCTGGGAAGACCTTGGCTCATTTGTCACTCACCGTTGACGTGCACGGGTCAACTTTAAATGCAGGTAGACGAACAAAAGGAGCTAATGAGATATTTATTGTTTACTTCCACCAGCATGGTGGCATGAGGTAACGTGCGAATCACCTACTTCGACCTCAAATTTACCGCCACAAATAAAGAAAGTTTTCATTGGAGAAAGGAAATACAAATCTAAAATATTCTTGTATTGTGATGAAGACATAAAACAATTTTGAGGAATGCGCCCGCTGTTCACTGCTTTGGAGTAGCTGTAGCTCAAGCTGACTTGACTCTAAGAGTTCTACATCACACGACGGTTGATTGACAAATGGTCCAGTGGGACCTAAGGCTCCTTTTATAGCGCGCCTTCGTGTTTAACTTGAAATCGACTCACAGCCCCTGGGTCTCCGAGGATGATAAAAACTGTTAATTAAGTAAAACTGTTAATTAAGTAAAAACTGTTAATTAAGTAAAAACTGTTAATTAAGTAAAAACTGTTAATTAAGTAAAAACTGTCAATTTAAAGTAAAACTTTTATTTGACAGTTTTTGAGTAATGTAAATATTTTTTTACACAAAATCTAAATCTAACAGCTCAATACGGGCTGCTTACCAGCGAAGGGTACCTGGAGAAAATGAGGGCTTATTATAACTTTTATAAATGTAAAGCGTGCATTTTTCTCTTCACTAACACTTGATTAGAATTTGATATCGACTGCTATTGATCATTATTCACTAACGCCTAGTTTCTTCCCCCTAACTGATAACCTAGAATACATCTAGAAAGTAATGAATTCAATTCATTTTCCACTTATATTTCTTTTTTTATAGTATCGAGGCGTCCGTGCAACTCTCCACTTCTTTTGGTTTCAACGTATGGCAGTGTAGTTGCTGTAGACCTGGATAACAACTCGAGCCACAAAGTCACTTCCAATTTGTCAGAACCTTTGGCTTTAGACTTCCATTATAACCTGGGCTACATATTTTGGAGTGATAGGACAGAAAGTAACATCAAGCGCTCGAACATGGACGGTACAAACATTACAGTGATCCACAATAATGTGCAGAGTTTGGGACTAGCAGTAGAGTGGAACTCATTGCAGTTGTATTGGACAGACTACGATAATCGCAGAATATCATTATCAGATCTCGAGGGAAATAACAGAACAACTGTCCTTTCTACAATAGCCCCAGGTGATATTGTTGTGGACCCGCACGAAGGGTAAGTATTTCCATAGAACCCAAGATTATGACGCCGTTGCCAAGGTAACTAAGACGAACACACTGTCGATATGATTAAAAAAAAAATAACCATAGTCGTAATACGAATGAAAATTCCCATGAATATCACTGCTCACCAAAGCAGATCTGACTGATCGATGATTCTGACTGCATGTTCTGACTAGGTCGTTTTTTCCGCGTCACATAACAGGTTGGATAGTGGCTTGAACTTTCAGACTTAATTTCTTGAACCTGTTTACAAGATCTTTTAATGGTAGAACAACGTGGACATTAATATATGTTCCTTAAGTATTGACAGGAAGAATTCGTCGGAAACTTTTGCGTCTATTTGTTGAATCAGACAGTTGTTTCGGGGGACAGCTTAATTCCTAAGAAAACTCTCATTAGTTGATCATGAGAAGAGGGCAATCGGTCAGTGGGATAAAGCTTTGATTTCCCATAGTGCCGTCGGTACAAATAATACGTAGTACTTGTTGGCGTAGTAGGAGCTTTCATGTGAACCCTTGAAATTGTTAATTGGCCACCATGGAAAGCAAGATTGCAGGAGACATCCTGCATTCGACATCGGCCTGTTATAACGCTTTACGATCAATTCAAGTGAACCCTACTTTCTTCTTATTGTGCCGCTTCCAATCTGTTCCTCGTCGGAGACTGACATTTTTAGGCGACCACGAGCTAAATTGGGCACCAAAAATGGGAAGCAAGATTGCAGGAGACATCCTGCATTTGATATCGGCCTGTTATAGCGCATTACGATTAATTCAGGTTCGGCACAACTTCTATTTACACTGAACATATACTCCACCTAGAACACTTTGTTCACTAAAAAAACAGAAAGCGCACACCGGTTAAGACTAAAAAATCGGTGATCTTTGAATTTAAAGAATCGTTCTCCTTTTCCTTTGTTTTTCTTGTTATGGTACTATGATGCAACTAATAATAGAAATAATAATAACAATGATAATTATGATAATCAAACTTTATTAACACTCAAGGCAAATAACTATTTACAAGTTAAAAAGTAAAAACGACCTAATAGTAGTTCGGATTTCAATTAAAATCTTATTTACAATCTAATCCTTTTCATCATCATTAACATTATAATTATTGATGCTAAAATAAAAAATACGTCTTTAATGTTCAAGAGATAAAATTACACAAGCCCTAAAATATCTATATAATAATTTAATAAATTCACAAAAGGGTAGAAACAAAAAAAAGGAAAGAAAAAGAAATTACATATAAAACTTGGTAAAATTCACAAAACTAAGTTGGACAGGCTGTAGGGTTGTCGAGGGAGAAGTCTAAGTCGATGATATCGAGGGTTCTTCTGATGGATCGTGATCCTCTCAGGCATAGCAAAGCTGAACGAATGAGCGCAAATGACACCTTGGCTTTAATCCATGGCGCTTGCATAGATCTCTCCCTTCTTATTTGATACTAACTCAGCTAAACGTTTATGATATATTTTACATTCTGAGCCCATTCCACCTGTTGTACTAAATATTAAAGGCGTAAAAGTTCCTTGTTCGACCTCCATGACCCTGTTGGCATACTGACGTTTCTTCTCACTCTCACGCTGCCTGTAAATTTGCTCGGGAGTCTTTTCACGGTAGGATTCTGCATTTGGGTGGCATATCCGAACATCAAAGGCTGCAGATCTCTGTCGCTCCCAGAAACCTCGGAAATGTATGTCGAGACGGGCGTCGGGGGCTGTATTCGCCCCCCTATTCAAGGTCTCCCCAGTCATCTGCTGAAGAATCGGCTCCACCTCGACATTACTAGATACTATGCGTAGCAGGTCAGCTTCTAGATCTCGAAGCTGGTTGTGACGTTGAATCACAAAACCACCCCTCCTGAAGATCATCGCATTGTCAACATGAAAGAAATCTCCGCATACACAGGTCTTCGGTAGATCGGAGATTTCCCAGCCATATCTAATCTTGATGGCGTCTCTAAATTCTCGCTTGCTTAGATTGTAACCCAGATCTTTCATGGGTATAACAGTTAGCCAGCTGGAAGCGCCCTTTTCCGATGCTAGCTCTACCGCTCTCATAGATCTTGAGGTTAGGCTGTTCTTGACCAACTCTTGTGTCTCTTTTAGAAGCTAATTTTTCTTAGCTTGTGCATGTAATTTTGCAGAGCGCGTGTCTGCCGCATCCGGAGATAGATGGTCTTGAGTCACAATGTGTGTCACCAGGGGTTTTGTGACAGTGAGTGATGCCTCGTATTCTATAGATGACAATTGTGTCGGTTTAGCGAGGTCCAGTCCCCCCATGCGTACAGGGAGTACAAGAAGCCCGCAGTCATCTGCAGTAACGGGATAGTCTGTAATGGCGGGAATCAATATTTTATTTAGTGAACGCTCAAGTAGCTTCAGTAAGTCGGTGATATCGGGGAGTTTCCGTAAAAAGTAGGTCCAGCGGTGACGTAGACCAGACCTAAAGGCGGCGTAGCTCGCCTGAGGCTGGGATATAGCGAATTCTGCAAGCTTGCTGACCTGGCGAACCCAGTCCTCGATGATGATGATGATAATGATAATAATAATAATAGTAATAATTTTTAAATAATAACAATCTTTATTTAGCAATAATTTCCATAAAATCCTCTACAAAGCAAGATATTAACAGCGTAAGAAACGATCCAAAATAACTCACTTTTGGCTCACATCTACTCCTTTTTTTTGTCAAAGCGTCTGGAAAACTATAAATAACGGAGTAAAATCTGAACAGATTCAAAATCTAATAATCTGATAAGTAAAAGCACATCTAAAACCATACAGAAAAGAGAAAGGTGAATGGCAAATCTAGAACCCTATGTACAAGGCTGCAACGTCACAATTATTATAGTCATACGCAGCGCGTCGCTTCACCCGCGATCCTCGAAGGCAAACTAAGGCCGACCGAAGGAGGGCAAAGGATGTCTTTGCTCGGATCCAGGAAATTGTTTGC